AATAAAGAGAAGGTTTATTGATTGATTGATTGATTGATTGATTGATTGTAAGAGTAAAAATGAAGGGAAAAGGAAGTGACCGTTGAGGGTTTTGCCATGGAAGTAAAACCTTCCATCTCCCTCCTAAAACCCTAGGGCTGGAGGCCCACTTCCCAATAATTCAAATTCAAATTTGTTTATGGCTGTTGGATTTTTATTTATTTTTAATTATTATTATTATTTTATATATTTGCATGAAAAATGACGATTGACTTTTTTTTTTAATGGAATTTTTAAATTTTGTAACAAATGAAATAGGGTCAATAATTGAACCATAGATAGGGATTGGGTTGGTTGTAACTTGTATCTAATTTATATCTCATTTACTTATCAAAAAAAATAGGGATAATTAGTGAAAACCCCCCACATCATTTACATATATTAGGGTGGGTTTAACCCCTTTTTTATAATTAGTGAAAACCCCCCATGTATTAAATTCGAATTTTTATGAATAATTTCATAATTGACATTTACATATTCACCCTTCTGTAATTAATTTATTTTAAACACGTGATTTGAAGAAAATCTTTGAGATCACGATATATCGGCATATTCCATAATCGCCTCATCTCTCTCAAACATCGTGTTAATTTTTGAACTGTTCCAAAGGCGCGTGTTGATATTCATATCTCGTTCCGTTCAGAGAGTCGACGAATGTAATTGAAGAAGGCGAGTTTTTTTTTTTTTTTTTTTTTGCAACGCAGTTGTGTTTTACTGCTGATTCGATGCATCAAATGTGAATTCATATATATGGTGAACTGATGTAATTGCAGAAAGTGGCTTCTACTTGATTTCATATATGCGAACTGGTGTTTCGTTCTTTGGTTCAGAGGATCTCATCGAGTTCATCGGCGATTTTGTAATTGAAGAAGGCGAGATTTTTTATGTTGTTCCTATGTGTGAACGATTTTTTTTACTGTTGCTTTTATTTTATAAATTGAAATTCATCTTTAATTGCATTCCGTACTAATTACATGAAGTTTTTTTGTAATTGGAGATGTGCGAACGATTGTTCTGTGTTGATTATGCGGAGGCTTTATAGTCGATGTATGCATTTATGTTTATACAGTCGATTTCTATGCTGGTAAATAATTTAATTTTTATGTTTAATATGTCTTGTTAGGTATTTGAATATACTTTAATTTGAAAATGTCCGAAACCTTGTTGTAGAGCTCTATGGGAGAATGCACCAGAGGAGATTTTCATATTTTTCTACTGGCTCCATAATATTTGTAGTTGTTTTGGGAAGATTGTCATTATTTTGTTACTTTTGTATTTGTTTATGTCACTTTTGTAATTGATTTTGACTTTCATAATTTTCTTTTTGTAGTATTAGAGCACTGGAGGCTAGGGCTTCTTGAGGCCAACATTGTTGGGAGTTGTGAGATGACATTGGCCTCTCTCTATGCTATGGCAAAGAATAGAAATAATGAATTTATAGTAGTTTTCGTTGGAAATTTGGGTGTTTTTTTTTTTTGTCGTTGTTTTCGACAATTTGTAGTTGTTTTTGTTATGTAATCATGTCATTATAATTTTGTTAGTATACATAGTTTATGTTGATTTAATTTTTAGAGGTGCAGATATTTTGACACATAGCCGTTTACTAGTTATTTTTCCAGAATAGTCTTTTGATAACAATTAATTTGGATATAGTTGGATTCATACTCGTTTTGCTAAAATTGTGGAAATAATCTTTTTGATAATATCAACAAACAAATTTTATCCAAATGCAAGTTCTTGCAAACCGACTATTATCATAAAAAACAACTATTCTAAACAACAACTATTAACCGAAAACAGGTATTACCCAAAACCTGCTATCATCAGAACATATATTCATATTGTCGAGCAAAAAAGTTGTTAGAAAAAAGAATGTAGCGTTGTGCAAAAGGTCTAATTCCAAAATCATCTTCATGAAAAACAACTCAATCAAAAAATACTCCATATATCAACATAGAAACATCAAAACAAAACAAATGATAAGCAATTTTTTAACAACACAAAACCAAAACAATCAAGCGGCGTTATCGTTCGAACTAATCTTCTTGATGTGCTTATGATTTCCCCAACATAAGAAAATCTTCACAATTTATGTCCGCAACTTGGAAAAATAACAAAACGGGTACTTGTATCGTTGCCCGTCAGTGTCGGCTTCTTCTTTTGCCCTCTGAAAACAACTATCCTATTTAATGACGTCGTCTTCTTCTTTTGCCCTCTGAAAACAACTATCCCGTTTATTGGTGCCGGCTTCTTCTTTTGCCCTAGGAATCGTTGCCCAAACAGTCGCTGCCCATTCTCATGTCTGATTATATTTGTCCCAAAAAATCTAGTCAGAATAGTATATTTACAAAATAGTTAATTTACAGAATAGTCTATTTACAGAATAGTCCATGTACATACTAATGAACTATTTGCAGGTAGAATAGTCTATTTACAGTTCAAGAATAATTCCACATCACTCAAGACACCCAAGCAAATAGACTATTTGGCATCACAATGGCATGGAGATTGGCTTATTTTAAAAAAAAAAGTATATTCACAAAATAGTCAATCTATATCTAGGCAGAATAGTCTATTTACAGTTCAATAATAATTACACATCCTTCAAGACAGCCAAGCAAATAGACTATTTGGAATCACAATGGCATGGAGATTGGCTTATTTTCAAAAAAAAAATTTATATTCACAAAATAGTCAATTTATATCTAGGCAGAATAGTCTATTTATAGTTCAATAATAATTACACAACATTCAAGACACCCAAGCAAATAGACTATTCTGCCTCACAATGGCATGGAGATTGGCTTATTTTCAAAAATATAGTTAATATACAAAATAGTCGATTTATATCTACGCAGAATAGTCTATTTACAGATTGTCATGTAAAACTACTGCATTATTACCTAAATAGTATGTTAAAAGTTACCAAAAACAGTTCACTAATAAATCCCACAAATTATAGCAGGGATTCAAGTCATACAAACAAATCGCACAAATTATAGCAGGAATTCAAAATAATTACCTGCGTCGGTTAGCCGAATATCGTTCAATGCTTTCGTCCTGCGTTCTCCTGTTCACAAAAACAAAATGTAAAAAACCACATTTGAAGGCTGTGTTTTTTGATATAATCGAAAAGAGGATATGAGTAAACAAGACTATTTCAGGGGGATACTTACTGCTTCCAGGTGTTGCTTTATTTCTCGACTGCGATGTGTTCATAGCTTCAAGAATTTCACTTTTTTGGGAGTTTCGTCGCTCTTTTTTTTTTTTTTTTTTTTTTTACCCAAGGAACGGAACAGCGTGGTTGTATCGCTGATTATGGTGGGTGAGTGAGTTTAAGAATTTGGCAGCGATTCAATTTCTCTACCCATAGGTTTTGTCGCCGGCGTAGTTGTTTACGAGAATTAGGGTTTTGCAGTGGGAGTTATGAAAAGATTAGGAAGAGCGAGATTTGGGGAGAAAATCTCACACGTTTCAGCAGTTTATTTTCCAGATTTTTAGTGATTTTTTATTAGACATAACGTGGCTCCAAAAAGGCTATTTTCGGGATTAATTAAAACAGTGGGTTTCCTACCAATATTGAAAATATGGCTGGATCCCCCATTATTAAAAAAAACACTAGAGGGGTTATGACTAATAGTCCCAAAAAAATAATTTATATCTCATTGATTATTGAAACTTGAAAAGTAAATAATTAAGATTGTTATTAGATTATTCCAAGGAAAAAAAAAAAGGTAAATAGCACTTAACCCCCTGTAATTTTTAACTTTATGCATATAATCCTCTTATATTTTCAATACAACAATATACCAAGTGAAATACAAGGGGGAGTCATGTGTACAAAGTTCAAATTACAAGGGGAGTCGTGTGCACAAAATTCAAACTATAAGGGGGAGTCGTGTGCACAAAGTTCAAATTACAAGGGGTCATGTGCACAAAATTCGTATTACAAGGAGGGTCATGTGCACAAAATTCAAATTACGGGTGGTCATGTGCACAAAGTTCAAACTACAAGTGGGGATCATGTGCACAAAATTCGAACTACAAGGGGAGTCATGTGTACAAAGATCGAACCATGAAAGCTACAAATGAGATAAAAGATGTAACTTCTTAATTTCTATTAAAAAAACATGTAAAATTTATCATGTAAACCTTTAAACACTACTAACTAAGACTCTTACATTTGTTCCTTCAAAATAAACAACTTTACTATGAAAGGAAAAAGAATACCGATTCACTTTCGTTCTACCTTTCGATGTTCAATGCCGGTGTATATTCATATGTCGAAACCCTAAAAAACTTTCAAGATGTAAACTCTAATATATCACCTTTTGCCCCGATTCGTCGAGACTATTTACATCTCTTACCCCCCGCGAAAGAAAAGAAGCTCTTCACATTTTCTCCTACATACACGAAACACCCCACAAGAATGTGTTCCTCTGTTTTTCAGCTCGTTAGTCCGTACTTTCGGAGCCTGCAAACACAACTTCCCAAAGTCAATTAAACAATTTTCAGGGATTAAAAGAAAATTCATTAATTCTTGAAATAATTCTAAATCTCCGATAACCTTCAATCACTTCGGAGCTAAAACCATCACTATTACTACTCGAAGACTTTGGTACGTCTCTTTCTTCGACCTTCTCCGAAGGCATAAGCATTTCGAACAGAGCAGGGTCCACGTAATTTCTTCTCCTTCGTTTCCGCGTATCTTTCTTCTCCGAATCTTCATTCAAATAATAATATTATAAAAAAAATTTACAATTTTATACATATAGAAAAGAGAGAATTTTTAATCTTGAAAATGTAAATAATGAAAAATCGGAAAAAAAAAAAAATTAAAAAATGTGCACAATGAGAAAAAAACCAACCGGAATCATTCCCTTCACAAGAAAAACGCAAATCCATGAGGCAAAGTGCAGCAAATAAGACTTCTATGTCATTTACTCTCACAATGTGCACCTACAACGCACAATAATAGTAATAATAATGCTCATCAAAATACCGAAAGCAATTTAACTACTTGAAAAAATAATAAATTGGTTCAAAATCATTAACGTTATAGATTAAACTGCGATATTAAAAAAAAATTAAAAAAAATTAAAAAAAATGAATAACCTTAAATTTGCAAGGCTCGGTCAAAAGGAAAATGAGTAAATCTCCTTTAAGTAATTTGTGTTTCATAGAGAAAGCCCTCCATCCGGCACTCAATCCATTCCTCCCCAAGAGATACGACGTTGTGTGCTCCCTCCCTAATTCATCCACAAGTACAACCGGCGTATCTTCATTCGGCAGATTAACCGTGCAGAATTTCTTCGGTAGATGCTGCCATAACAACCACTTGCCCATTAATTAAATAAAAAATATTAAAACAAAAAATAAACGAGGATATCATTCGGTTAAAGCATACCAGCCAAAACCCTTGGGAAACATTTGATGGGAGCATACACTTAACGAAGGAGGGAAGGTTATACTCCTGTTCCAAACGAGCTAGCAATTCAGCTGCTCGTTGCATGACGGAGCGCTTAGCTTCTTCATCCTCGTATATGTCACAATCACGAGTTCGTTTACGCTCACTTCTTGTTGCACATAAATTTCACGGTCACGATTTTTTTTCAAATAAATAGATTTTTTTTTTCTTTTCTACGTAAACAAAAAAAAAGAGATTTTTTTACCTTTGTGGTTTCTTGGAGTTATCCGAGCACACCTGTTCGGGAATTTAAGAAGAAAAAAAATGAGGGGCGGGTTGGGTGGGGGTGGGGCGGGGAGGAACATCACACGTAAGACTCCACGACCTCTTCCCTTTGGTTTCCCACTGTCACCCTCCTATTCGTGCGCGTGATTTATCACCGAAATGCCCTCCCCCCCCAAAACACGTAACCGTATCTTTATCTCCCCACCACCAACACTTTCTCACTCCACCCTCTCTCACTCTCTAGAATTTTCTCCCAGGGCTCAAAATTTCACCCCCCCACGCACACTCACGCACCCGGGATTTCTCTCTCGCGAGTCATAACTCAATTCCCTCCA